AATCTATAGCCATAATTTGGTTGAGGAGAGCCCATGTCAGAAACTCTTTGTGCTTGCTTTGACATATAAATTTGGTCAAGTGTCCAACCATGAGTTTTTCCTTGTCTCATGATGTCCCATTCCATTACTAGGAAGAGATTTACTAGTAAAATTGGGGGCAGTTCTCCAATTTCAGCAAAGGCTGAAATAGATATCACCTGGTGAGACTACACCAGACCTCCCTTACCTAAATAGCCAAAAGGTGGATTTTGATGCATGGTGTAATGCAATACCTGGGAAGGCAAATTCATTAATGCCAGCAGTGATAAAATTAACAGATCCTAGTCAATTTCCCAACCAAAAATAATATCCAATCAAACAATTATTATTATTATTAAAGCCTTCAGGCTCTTATAGACAGTTCTCAAATATAGCCTTCTGTGGCCTTTCCAGTCCCCTTGCAATATCTCCATTCTCCCTGTAGCAAAACCTTCAGAAGAACAATCAGATGGTACAAGAACTCTCTGCCTCATTAATGAGGCTGTAATCCCAAAGCACCATCTAGTGGTAGATCCATACATAATCCTTTCCCAAATTTCAGGAGACACAAATTTGTTCTCAGTCTTGGACCTCAAAGATGCTTTCTTTTCTATTGGTCTCCATCTAGACTCCCAGTTCTCATTTGCTTTTCTATGGGAAAATCCAATCTCAAACAAAAAATAATACTAAAAAAAATATTTGGATAGTTCTCCCACAGGGCTTTTCACCATTTTGCTCAGTCACTGGGAAAATATTTATGGTACCTAGAGCTTAAAGAGGGGACCATCCTACAGTATGTAGATGATATTCTAATCTCCAGCCCAACTACTGAGCTATGCAACCATAATACTATCCAAACTCTCAATTTTCTAGTTAAAAAAGATACAAAGTCTCAAAGGAAAAGATTCAGATATCCCTTTAGAGAGTCAATACTTGGGATACATTCTTACACCCAGGGAATGACAACTCTCTAGGAACCAAATCCAGGCTATGTGTAACCTCAGGCCCCTTGACACCAAACAATAGCTTTGTTCCTTCCTGAGAATGGCCAGCTTCTGCCAATTCTTGATATCTAATTTTGTACTAATTGGAAAACTTTTATTTGAGGCTGTCAAAGGTCCTGAGCCTGAGCACTTAGAATAGACAAAAGTGACTGAAAATGCTTTTCAAGGAGTAAAGCAAGCCCTCACTCAGGCTCTAGCACTGGGAATACCTGGCTTAAGAAAGCTCTTCTTCCTGTACATATTAGAAAAGAGAGGAATTGTTTTGAGTGTCTTGACCAAAAGAGCAGGGAGCAGGATCCCACCCAGTGGCCTACTTTTCAAAAAAATTAGGTAAAGTGGCTTCTGGGTGGCTGCCCTGCCTGGAGGCAGTAGCAGCTATAGCTATGCTAACAGAAGAAACCAGAAAATTAACTTTGGAACAAAAAATAAAAGTCCTAACTACCCATCAGCTCAGTGCTATTCTTGAGATAAAAGGTTACTTGTGATTGACCAGAGAATGTCTTACCAAGTATAAGGCCATATTTCAAGATGGCTCTGAGATTACCTTAAAAACTTGCATGCAGAACCAATCAGAAAAGTGTTATTGTCCATTCTACATTTACATTTGGCATGAAATCAAGGGACTCTTTGTTGTACAGTTTAAATCTGGCTCTAGGCCCAGCAAATATTTGATAGGACAACTGTCCCAATGCCTTATTTACATGAAGGAAACAGCTAATCTAGGAATTCCAGATATAAAAGACCCCTTTCCCTTATCTTCATGGCTTTTGCAAGTCTGTTCACTGGTCTGTTCTTTTCCACATTCAATAAATGTACATCCCTGCTACCTTTTCTGTGTGTCTTGTCTAATTCTTTGTTCAGAACACCAAAAACCTGGAAAGAATTTCTTGGGACTCATCATCTAGTAACAGTACCCTTTCAGGCTGAAGCATTTGGCTTCCCTTTGCATATGCATCAGCTACCTTTGATGGAATATATTCACCAATCCAACATTGGTGACAGGCAGATGACATGACCCCTCAAGCCCTCAGGATTGAGGACAAGACTAAAGCAAGGGGGGAATTGGAATCATCATGGCAAACTGGAACTTTATTTGTTTGTTTTGAGACAAAGTCTTTCGAGTGCATAGATTACAGGCATGCACCAACACACCTGGCTCTTTTTGGGGGGGGGCACATTAAAAGTTAGATATTTTCTTTGGAGACAAGCGGCTTCTTCAGACTTCCTCAGGCCTAGGCATAAACAGCTACCCCTACTTCTCAGGTCAGGTGAAAGAACAGAATATGTAGATGCTGACACAAGGAGGTCTAACTCCAATTTCATTTCCACAGGGAAGGAACTGAGGTCAGAGTCCAAGAAGAGATGAAACAAGCCTGGACATGTCTATTCCCTCATTGTATTCCCTCACTTCACTGTTTTGTGCTCTAAAGAACCTACTACAGTTGTACATGGTGAAACAGTTAATTCTGTACAAACCAAGTTCATGGTTTCACAAAAATCATAGAATGAAGTCACAAATGAAAAGGAGGAATTTTAAAAAGTTTTATTGAAAATAAAAAGAAAGAATAAAAAGGCTCTTGGTTTCTTTAGGAGAGGAATCTGAAAAGTGGAATTTCCACATGTCCCCTCAGTCCAGAACTTTTTATGGATAAGCAGAGCATGGGAATTGCTCAGTTGATTAATGGCCACCTATAACAGGTGACTCTGAATTTAAAATGACCAGTTGGAAGTCAGCCTCTCTAACTCACTCACTCATCACATAGGGTTTAAAGGAAACTGAGATTTTAGAGAAAATTGGTTATTTTTTACTTTAAATTCCTGGAAACTCAGGAGCTTACTAGGGAGTGGCTGCAACTCCTTTTAGCGTGTGTGAGGTTGTGTTCTATGTTGACTAAGTTCTTTTTTGGTCCAAAATCCTAATTCACTGTCCATTCTTATTTTAGTTCTCACCAATATGGCTAGCCACCCAACTCCATCTCAGGCCCTTTGCCTAGATAGTGGCCCCATTCATAAGCTAACTAAATAAACTTTTTTTTTCTTTTACAATGGTGAGATGGTGATTTGAATGATGTGGACCCTCCATCTCTTTGGAGCTAGCTTTGAGTGAATTCTTTTTTCTCTTTACCAAAATAAATAGGCTCCTTTGGTTTGATCCAAGGAGAGGAAATGAAGCTGAGTGTACGGGCCTATAACACTAATAGTATTAGGCCCAGGGAATCAGTTCACACTCAGCATAAGCAAACTTTAGCTTTAATGAAAATCCTAGTTTTTAAAGATCCATTTTACTCTCTCAGTTCCATCCCTGATAGCCCATGATGTTGTCTAACAATTTCATTTTTGCCAGTCAGATAGTAGTGAAATAATACGTGATGGTTGTTTTATTTCTCTGCCTTTTTTTATTACTATGAATTGTAAATCTCTTGACTACTACAATTTTCTCATTGATGTACTGCTACTTAATATTCTTTAAAAATTATTTCATCCATTATGTTTTCTTAATTGTTCAGAAGTTATTATAGCCTCAATATCAATGATGTGTTGTTTCTCAATATTTTAAACACTTAATAAACATTAGTGTTGCTATATATCTGTTCTAGTCAGTGCTTACAAGAGCTTGCAGGGCTGGGGCAAGGCTCCTCAAAAGATTGCACATGTTCTGAATCAGATGTGATGCAGTACACAGAAATTTATAAGATTAGGTTACAATATTTACCCACAGAGTCAAATATAGAAGAGTGCAAGAGAACTGTCTGCTCTCTAGAGAAAAGCCAAAGCCCCTCTGAAAAAAAAAAAAAAGCAGCTGGAACAAAGCTCTTGCAAGGGAAATCAGCTGAAATACTTCCCTATGTTGTCCTTTTATACTGTGCCAACAACCATGCTGACTCAATTCAACTGGGTGTTCCCCACTCACATTGACAATTAGTTAACCACCACAATATCCTTAACTGGAGAGAAAATTTAATGTGGTAAAAATGATTAATTTTTGCATATTGACTTGTGGTTATGCAATTTATTTCAAGGAATTCTTCCCCATTCCTAGTTTTATTTTCTCTTACAATCTTGAGAATCTACCTTTAACTTTAGGTGTCTAATGCATTGGGAGCCCACCTCTGTACAGTATAGTAAGTCAGGTCCTGTTTAGCATCTGTTATCCAAGGAGGGAGTTTTCCAGGCCATCTGTTCTTTGTCCCTTTCAATTAGTAGGTGCTGACTTCTTGTTCTACTTCAGTCCCCAGAGCCTCTGGAGTCTGTTTGTGAGGTCCCAGTTATTGTCCCAGGATCTCTTTGTTCTTTTTTTTCCCACTATGATGTTGTCATCCAAGAGGACTGATCTTTTTCTCCTGTATTTCAAACTACTTTAATCATCTGTGGACCTTGTTATTCTTTGTAAACTTTTCAAAGAATTTACTCTCAAGAGCAATACGATTGGAATATTGTTCCAGATAGCAGCAGATATCAAATTTTTTTTTCATTTTTAAAAACTTCATTCCCCTTTGATTTTCTTTTCTCATTCTTAGATTATTAATAACTACTTTGATAACTGAACTCCTATAAATTGGAGAATCCAGAAGAAATGGAGATTTCTAGATACACGTGAATTACCAACTCTGAACCAAGAAGGTACAAAAAACCCCTGAGTGATCAAATAATAGGCAATGAAATTGAGGCAGTAATAGAAAACCTACCAACTAAGAAAAGCCTGATGGAATCACCACTGAATTCTATAAGGACTTCAAGGAAGATCTAAAGTCAATACTCCTCAAAAATCTTTCATGAAATTGAAAGAGAAACTGCAAACATGTTTATTAGTACTGCAAACACGTACTATTAAAAATAAAAATTACAGAAAAGAAGAAATTGTGTGCAAAATACTATAACAACAAATGAAGTTTTATGGATATTAACATCTATAACATTATTTATTTGTTTGATATATGTTTCTAATACAACAAATATATATTACCTGTTATATATACAAAGATTAAAAGCCAATTTTTATGAGTTTATGATATTTATAATACATAGTGTATGCTACATTATATCAAACTATGTAATTTCCACTATATATATATTAATATATGGGTGTGTGTGTGTTTTGTTCTGTATATTACATGCCATCAGAGATACAGTTTTCTTTCTGTCTATAAAATAAAAAATGGGTGAGATAGTTTCATTACCAACTGGTCAGAGTCAAGCATCACAACAGAGCTAGTAAAGAAAAAGACAGTAAAGAACAGGAATCTATATACAGTAACTTTCTACATAAATGGGTCTGATTTGTGAGTAGACACTCTCCAACTACTTAACAACAGTGTTTCCCATCAACACAAATACATGATCATAATGCACTCAGACTATAGTTGGTAGCTAAATTTTTCTTATCTACTTTTATCATGTCAAGATTCTTCCTGCCCAGTGAATTACATTTTGGTAACTACTCTAGGTAACTAGGTCTTATCTGGCCACATAATTATAGCACAGTAATGATTTGTATATTGTCTACAAACAGAATTATAAAATTTGTATGTTATATGCAGGGTATGCATAATATGTATTTATAAATTTGGTTTATTCTGAAAATACAATTGGAGTTTAACATTAGAAAGTGACTCATCAAATCACCACATTATCAAATTATGGAAAAGTAGCCAGAGGATGCTATCAGAGAATACATCCAACTCAGGAATAAAAGCCAATACTCACTAATGACTGGGCTCTTGGAAAATAAAAGTCACTGACTTCAAAAGAAAATATGTATATACTAAATTTGAAAGCATCAAAAAAAATGAAAGAAAGACAGAGAAAAATGTCACTCACATGCCAAGAGAAGATATTGGCTATGATAATCTCCCAGAAATCAGTAAGGAAAGAAGCAATAAAATTATTAAACTATAGTAATCTGGGTTAAATCACAGAAGGCTAAAGAGTTAATAGACATGTAAAAAGTATGAAAAATACCCACAAAAACAAAAAAGACACCCCCAAACTCACTAGTGAAACTGGAAAAACTGAAAATAAGTACACAATTCGGTGCCACTTCAAATCTATCATATAGGAAGACATTACAAATTGTAAACACAGAATCAGGAGTATGTGGATCAGGGGTTATCCTGTTATTGCTGGAGTAGGATGAAGAGGTACAATTTTGCTTTCCCTAGGGTTTAAGCACATTGTAACTTGGATCCCAAACATCAGCACTTTCTCTCAAAGTGCTACTCTCTAAATTCCATGTTGCCCCTGCAAGGCCTAAGGGAGAATCCTGGGACCAAAAGCAACAATATTTCTGCAGCAAAATGTATATTTAAAGTACATGGTATAAAGTAGGACTTTAAATAGCCTCATTTCAGTGCAGTTCAGATGAGTCCCCTGGGGTAGACAGACCAAAGGGGACAATCCTTGGATACAGTTCAAATCCTTGTAAAATTCTTTCCCTTCAAGATAGGCAGGCCAGAGCATTTCTTCTGATCAGCAGAATATGGAGAAGATGATGGAATGTAACTCCTGTGATTACAATTCGTTATTTACACACCATCTTGCCAGAAGATTTGTTATGGAGACTCCCTCTCCTGGGCTCATGCTGAAGAAAATACTTGGTCATGTGTATGCCCACTGTGCAAAGAGCTGATGGGAGAACCCTGAAGCTGAGGGCAGCCTGCAACCACAGCCAGCAAGAATCCAGGGCCTCACATACTGTAACCCAAGGGGAATGAATCCTGTCAGCAACCTAAGTGAGTGTGAGAGGGGACCTTCCCCAGGTGAGTATCTGGATGAGAATATAGCCTAGGCACACTTTCACTGCAGCCTCCTGAGACCCTAAGCAGAGCCCCCTCCCCCGCCCCCCCGGCACTAAGCTGTGCTCAGTTTCTTGACTCACAAAGACTGTGAGATAATATATCTATATTGCTTTAGATAATTTTGGATATTTGTAAATGACAACAGATAACTCATACAGGCACAAAATCATTTTAGGTTAAGTCACATTTTCTAGCCAACTTAATCATGGTGACAGTTTCCATTATCAGCATTTTTAAAATTTAGTAATTATGTATAAGAATTTCTAGAAATATAGGCAGCAGTAGCAGAAAAAGGAATAGTAAATGTGGGTTTTGGATTAATCACATAGTATCTGTTGTATTTCTAATATTCACCTCTGTTACCTGAGTCAGGTCTCTAATATTAAATATAGTCCACCATACTCACCTACCTTTCTTGAACGTCTCTCAGAATTTGAAATACTCATAAGAACCATTAGAGGCACATCTAATACCCTGCCCTGGGGCTCACCACTTGCCAGATAGGTGCTAGAAGCTCACACAAGTGAATGCAGTGCATTTTCAGCACAACTCCATGAAATGGAAACTATCTCATTTCTCAGATGTGGAATCTGAGTGACAGGAGTTGCCTGGTGACAGGGTCACCAAAGCAGACAGCAGGAACTGGAAGTTCATATAGGAGAACAGGATACAGTATATATTCAGCCTCTGAGCACACAGGACAGGGAGAGTAAGCCAGTTCTGCTGCAAATGCCCACACGACCTGTGCTCCAGGCTGCCCAGGATGGTGAGGACAGTGGTGAGTGCTGAAGATCTCTCTTATCACAGCACTGAGGGAGTCCTGAGCTCTCATACCTCGACAGTGCCTTAACATCGCCTTCACATCCAAGTAAAGCTCAGCAACATCACACGCAGTCTGAATCTTCAAGGGAAAGACCTCTAGTGCTTCCAGCTTCACAGCACAAATCCTGGAAAAAGCAGAGGTGAAGACTCTTTAACGGTCCTCTCCATTCAGCTCTGTCCCTCCCTTCCTGCCTTTACACAGGACTCACCTGCTCAAGGTGCTTTTCACACCCTATAAGGAACAAAAACAAAAGGCGAGTGTGTTAGCTTTAGTACTCCATGAGTGGTGGCATGGAAGTCTGCTGTCTATAAACACAACTCCCCAAGAAGGAAAGAGTGACCCAGCCTGAGACACTGCTGCAGAGCCAGGGACAATGATCCCACCCCACTTCTGCCCACACAACAGGAGGCTGTGATCTCCCTGAAGAAGCCTGAGGGGGAAGACCAGTGGCTGCAGTGGCATCAGTTTGTGGCTGCTAGGGACATAGGCAGGAGCTTTTCTCACTCTCCCTCTGGCAAGACTGGCTCTCAGGGACTTGATGTCCTGCAGAGTGAGCCCATGTAGACATCACTTGTCACCAAGGTGCTTTGTGGTAACTGCATGTGCAGCTCCTGGACTGGGCCACCAAAGTGGTGGCATCAGGTATCACAGGGTGCTAAAGCAGATGTGCCACCTTTTCAACTTAGTATGACTTCAGTGCTACTAGTGGGAGCCAGAGTTAACAGCTCCTGCTGCTTATCTTATAGGATATATCCTTTATGCAGCTGTAAGAAGCCCCACAATAACTTTAGGGCTCCACCAGCAAATCAAGGAAAAGATTACTACTCCTTTTGGCTATCCCACTGTCACTACCTGACACCTGAGTGAATATTTCAGGAGACTGGTAGTCAAGATCTGCAAATGGACCACAGGAGAAATGATGGCAAAAGCTATTCCATGGTTTGATTTGGCCCCTCTATGTTCATCTACCCAGAAAACTCAAGTTTTGTTTGAGGATTCAACCCAGGATCTTGTTCATGTTAAGAGAGTGCTCTACTACTGACCAGCATCCTAGGAACCTTTTTTAAATTTTAATTTCAGATTCACTAAGTCGGCCTCATAGTTGTGCTTTTCCACCCTGAGCCTCTCTAATAACTGGGATTACAGTAATGGAGCACCATTCTGTGGAGAAATATGTTTTTATATTTCACATAAGGGGACCCCATAGACTAGTGGAGCTACCCTGATGATATTCATGTATAGTCTTAGGTAGATATTACCTAAATTCCCTCATGAATGCCCACACTGGAATGGAAGCAAGCTTTGTCAATCTCCCCCTGCTTCCTCACCATTCTCCTCAGAATACTTCTTTCTTTTTCCAAGTCCATAGCCTCACCTGCAGCAGTTTCTGGGGTGAGCTCTGACATTTTGCCTCCAGCTCCAGAATGTGGCTCTTGAGTTCATCAATTTTCTGCTGCAGGTTGGCCTCACTCTCCTTCAGCCTGCTCATCATCTGCTCTTCTTCCTTCTCTAGCCTCCAGAGATACAACCACTCCTCCTCATGTAGAAAAGTGTGGAGATTCTTAAAGTCCAACTTGATTTTTTGTTTTCGAATATCTATCCTGTCCTAGAGTAAAAAAAAAAGTGTGGCAAACAAATGAAGTGTTCATGCTGAGTGAATGGGTAAACAAAATGTGATCTATAGATATAATGGAGTCTTACCCAACCTTAAAAAGAATGGAAATCTGACCCATCCTTCAAGGATGAAACCTGGGGATTTTCTGCTAAGTAAAATGAGCCTGAAATAAAGGGACAAAGAGTGTAGCTCTCACTTATATGAAGACCCTACCATAGTTAAATTCATGGAGATAGAAAAAAAAAATAGTAGTTACCAGCTGGTTAGGAGTAGTGGAAAATGGGAGTTTATATTTAATGGGGACAAAGTTTCATTTTACAAGATAAAAGAATTTCTGGAGCTGGGTACAGTGATGGCTCTACAGTGGGAAAGGCATTAATGTCCCTGAACTGTACACTTAAAATAGTAAAAGTGTCAAAGTGTATGTTATGTCTATTTTACCATACACAAAAAGTATGTTCTGTTACTGTGATATATTTCAATAAGTCACTCAAGCTGGAAGAATGTCCTAAGCTTCCTGCTGGCACTCTGCTATTGGAGAGATTAACCTTGACCTCTTTCCTTTTTCTAAGCACCCAGGCTGGTAGGAGAGTCCCTGATTCTTGACAGAACAGCAATGTGAGGTCCTGCAGAGGCAGGCTTGTGTTATTGTTTACTGAGAAATATTCATGTACCTGCCAGGGGTCATTTTATTATCCCTATGTATAAGATGCCAGAAATAAATGATGTATCTCATTAGACTTAACTTTCATTTGAGTAGATGTAGAATTGCAATTTTCAGGAGTGCTGTCTAAATACTTGCAGTGTTTCAATGACTATGATGTTGTGATAGAAACTGATCAATTTAGAAAGAAGTGGAAGTTTCTTGTATGAGACTGGTGTACTTTTAACTTTTGTACTGAAAGTCTTCCCTTAAATGAGTTAATTAAACTTGTGAGTTAAACTCAGTGTTGCCCTCTGTGCAAGGTCCTAGCAATGTGAAAGCTAAGAGGATTCTCTGAAATCGCTGATTAAACTTCCACACCCAAAAGTGGCAGAGGGTGGAAAGGATGTTTGAAGAGCAGAATGGCTTACCAGCCTGTGGACCTGGACTGCCAGCTAAAGGAATCCAAAGATATTTCCACAAAGGAAGGTGTCTCTGATACTATGGAGAGCCTGGGAAGCCATGGAAATCATCTGGAAGCCTTCAGCCTGCAGGTGCAAGTCGCAGGTTCTTGTAGCAGCTATTATGTTCCTTATCACTCAGGCCGGTTTCCTTTATTGGCCTACTCTGGAGGAACCTGTTTTCTTAATACTCTGAGAGGCAGTTTCTCCTCCCGGAAGGCTGAAAGCCAGTCCTTCCACTTGGTAAATGAAATGAGGGAATAAGTTTAAAGCCTGCACACTAGAAGATGCAGTTAACATGTCAAATCTGAGGAAGGCTATTTTTAGGCAAATAGACACTACAATTCTTTCTTTCTTTCTTTCTTTCTTTCTTTCTTTCTTTCTTTCTTTCTTTCTTTCTTTCTTTCTTTCTTTCTTTCTTTGTTCCTTTCCTTGTACTGGAGATTGATCTCAGGACCTTGTGCTTATGAGGCAGGCAGCGGCACCTCTGAGCTAAATCCCTGCTGACACTACAATTCTACTTCTCCTGAATAAGGTATTAGTAGGAATCCCAGTCAATTTGTGTTAGAAGGTTAAAAGTTTGATGATGGAATTTCATGAATGTAAAGAAGTAGGGCATAAACAACTTTCTACTTTGGCTTTGTGCTTTACCCTAGTCACTCTCTGTTCCTAAGCACTAGAATGGAAAATAGTTTGAGACCAATAAACTCAGATTCTTACCTGCCACTCAGTTATTTGTGTTGCCATGAATGCTTTTTGATTCATACATTCTGTGTGGAGTTCACTCAGTCTTTCCATAGATTTCTGGAGCTTTTCCTGAGCGGAAAATTGGATGAAGAAAGTCTATTTAATTTGATTATTCATTAGACACCTAAGAGAAAGCCTGGCACTCCAGGATGTGTTAAAATAGAATGAATCTCCCCTCTCACTTCTGTATTGAATTCTTATACTTTGTTGGAAAACACTGGGGACTACATGGGTGGTAACACTGATATGCTCAGTACCCGGAATGGTAGCAGGATTTTTAACATGATTTGTGCACTGTAGGAAGAGAGTCTTGGAAGGGTTGAGTAACTTGCCCAATGTGGTATGTAGCTGGGAGGCAGTGAGGCTACACTGACCAGGATGACAACTGTGTCCAACCATGCCCTTGTCCACCAGCAGTGTCACCAAAGAGGTTAGTGCAAATATGGTCATCATGGGAAATAAGATCTTTTAGAAAAATGTACTGAATAATGCATAATCAAATTCAGGGTGTTTGGTGTGCATGGAACATGGTATCATAAGTGAGGCAGAAAGGAAAGACCACACCACCTGAAGTTTTAGAACAGTTAATACATTTTTGACTCTTCTGATATGGTTAGAGAACAGAGTCATAAAAACGATTTAAAAGCTCTTAGTAACTAGGTCAATATTTTAGATTGTTTTTCAAAACTATTTTTCTTGAATGCAACTTGAAGCTGATACCAGTACTGTCTCCTGTCCTCTCTAAATCCAGTAAGTGTATTTATGAATTCCCTAGTGCTCTCAGGAAAGTGTTCAGCCTACCTGATTTAGCAAGACTGTGTTGTCTGGCTATATGCCATGTGCAAGTCTAAGCTCTACATATTTTAATGTACTTAAATGTGTTAGGAAAGGATAAGACTGTGTTATGTACACTTGTAGATTGGGAAACCAAAGCGTGATGACATTAAATAACTTACCCCATAGTGTGCATCTAGTAAGTGTCAGAAACTAAGATCTCAACCTCAGCTACCTGCTTCTGGGGCTGACAACCATGACCCAAGCTGCTCCCATCCCTACTGCTGGGTAGGAGAGAAACTCAAACAGGAGCATACCTGTTGTAGACATTAGCAGCTCCATGGAGTCTAAGGGAGTGCTGCATAACTGAACGGTGGTCAGGGATGATGTGCCCTTGGGAAGATCATGGAGCCTTCATAGGAGCCCAACTCTGTGTCATGGAAGATGAATTAGGAGCCTACAATGTACACAATGTTCTCATCTGTAGCAGAGCCAAGGGCTGGGGTAGCAGTACTAAGCTTATTCCTTCCTTCACCACTACACAGGACCACCCTTTCCAAGTTCTCAGGGGACACATAAAGCCACCAAGAACCCATCTCCCACTTACCCCTCACCACCATTATTTCCAAATCTATGACTATTCTTCTGAAATCTTGTTTTCATCTGCCATTTCATTCTGTTTCTGATAGAGATAACTTGCATTTTACTCCTTGAGAGTCCCTTTGTTTTCACATGCCAGGATGATGATTTCAATGTCAGTGACTTTCATTGCCCAAATGAAATTTTCCACAGGCATGGGACACTGGAATCTAGGAACTACACTTGGAGCTCTCAGGTCCTGGGTCCTGGCTCTTTGCTTCTTCCGTACCAGTCTTGTCTTCTGCATGTGCTCCATGGTCTGGTCACAGAGACAGGAGCCCTCATGGCTGTGCCTTTGTATGTGTCAGTCCCTCTATCCAGAAACAATGCAGGGGTTGAGTTTATGTGTCTTTCAGGAGTCCCTGCTGTGATGTAACACTCCTTCCCCTCCTGCCTCTATCACCATCCAATCCAGGGATCCAGGTAGTCACTTTGCTGGTCATTGTCTCAACAGGACACTGAGATCCCCACTGTGTCCTCTTCCCCTTCATTTCCAGATCCTTCTGCAGAGTCTTGCACACTGTGCTTTCACAAATTATATACAGTGAAGCAGACACAATGCAAGTGTTTGGTTGAACATAGCCCAGAGCAGGAAAACATCCATGGTAACACTCAGGATGGGGATGGGATGGGGTCAGCATGGACAGTTTGGACAGGATTTAGCAAAGATCCATCATAAACCAGTTTTCAGAACACTACAGTAAAACTGTGTTTCAGTCTTAATCTTAGCTTCAGAATCAATACTCTCAGACCTTGGGAGCAGCACAGGATGGGTTCCTGCTGAGGACACAGACACACACTCACCTTGTAGCCCTGGCACACGTACTCCACCAGCACCATGGCGTGCCCTTGGTGGTGCGGTCCCCACTCACAGTGCCAGCAGATGAGCTGGCCATCGTCTTCACAGAAGAGCTGGAGCTGCTCCCTGTGGGCCTCACATTCTCTATTGTACTCCATCTTCTCCATCTCCTCCATAACTTCAATGATTCTTTCTAGATGCTTATTGTGCCTCCAGCTGTTCATATGAAATGGGGACCCACACTGAGGACACAGGAACACTGATGGCAATGGCTTGTTTGTACAGAAGATCCACATACACAAGTTGTGTAGCTGTGTCCACAGTTGAGGCTCACCAGGTGAGCCAACAAGTTTGAGCACAGGAAGCAGGTGGTGATCTCCTGCATCTTCTCCATGGGAGTGGCTGGGGCCTTCCCTTTTCTAGAGAAGCTCTAAGGTGGATCTAGAGGTGAAGATGAACCACTGTACAAGAAGCTGAATGCTCTTGCCCTCAATACATGTGGCAGTCTTAACTCTGTAAAGAAGAAAGTCTTTTTAATTTAGAAAATGCATAAGTAATTAGCTGTGTTGTCAATACAATAGAAACTGTCATGTGTGGACATTTAAATTTAATTTAATAAGTGTGGGGAGCCAGCCTACAAGTTTGGCCTTGACTGCAGGATGAATGAGAACAAAAGAAAGAAAGAACACAGAGTTAATTTGGAATATGGGGCCAGGAAGCTCTTTCCCTCTATTGGATAGGAGTCCTGAGCATTTGGCTCACCTCACCTTTATTCACTCAGACAGGGGAGCAAGCAACCAGGGTAATAGAAGATTCATCTGCCTCCTGTTAGCCATAGCATATACCGAGGTAAACAACCAGATCTCAGCTCTATAGACTCTTTTCTAGGACTTGCAACATGCCAGTATGTCTATATGTTGGCAAAGGAGACACAGCCTGTTGTTTTTCTTCTCTATGCTTTCAGAGAAGGTCAATTAGGCCTCAATCCTCATTATTTGGTCTCCTACAAATAAATATTCAATACAATTGAAAATCCACTTTCTCTGACTTGCTAGACACATTTACATTGCCCAATAGCCCCTTGTGACTGGTGTTTATAGGACAGGCCTGCCAAAGAACATTCTATCAGAGTGGGATGTTGCAGCAGAAGCCACAAATCAGTAAGGCAGTGTAAAACCCCTTCTTGTTTGAAAGAACAATTAGCACCAGAATTATCCTTTTTACTTTGTGGGCAATTGGGTGGTCTACGGAGGATTCTGTTTAAACAATCAAACTGGACACCACTATAATCCCAACTCCCAATCCATATATTATAGGAGGTAAGATTCATAAAGTGCAATGGAGACCCAACAAGGAAGATGACAAATATAACCAAGGCAATCAGAAGAACTAGTTTATTTCTTTTTGTGCTCCCTCTCTCAACTTAAGGAAAAAACTGAAAAGAACCCTAGAAGGGTACAGGAGCCTGATTATTCTGGAGACAAAGTGCTGCAGAACCCAGAAGCTTTACTGTGAGAGCTGTGAGCAGATTCTCTGGCATTTCCTGAAGAAGAAGGCAGGGTCCTGCTGTCAGCAAACACTCTCTCCACCCCCACCAACTCACACAGACACCCACCCATGCTCGATCCTTCACCTACAGGACCCAGGTCTGCACCTTTCAGGAACACACTCACCTGTCTGCTGCTAATACCTCCCAAGGCTGCCACTTCTGGGAGCTGAGGCAATCAGTTACCTCAGACTGAGGAAAGAGAAATAAACTACTGAGGAAGGTGGGGCCACAGACTGGGGCCAATAAGGAGGATCACTGAGAAGGCTGTGCACTCAGCTTGTCCTGAAAGGGAGGGAGAACACAAGGAAAACAGCCTCTTAAAGCACCACATTTTGGGAGTGACCTGGCCTGTAACGGATTTCTGCACTCTTTGGGGCTGAATGGGCGGTGCCTCCCTAAATGCTTGGCCACCAGTGATGTGGCTCCTGTCTTCCATTCTCTCAGCCTCCCACTGAAGAGTTTTAGATTTCGAGGAGTACTTGGAGCTAATCCATCACATGGAAATAAAAATGGAAACCACTGAACCTGAGCCAGATTGTGCAGTGCAGCCCTTCTTCCTTGATAACTCTTCATGCCAAATGAAGCTCTCTGAGATCAACCCATTGAAGTCTATTTTTGATTGATTTTTAAGAAAAAGCAGAATTAGAAGAGATTAGGAACTGGAACCCTGAGGTTTTTGAGGCCAATGTTAAACACTTTGCCAGTATCTGGCTCACTTGAGGTTTATAGTACTAGAGACCAGAGTGCAGATGAAACCAGCCTACATGAATCTATAGGAAATCAATCCAGTGTGTCCACATGCAGAAAACAGAATGTCTGTCCTGCTTCTTGATGGGACAAATATCGGGTGGCAAAAACCAAGAAGCTTATCATCCTTCCAGTGATGCTTCAGGACAAGCAGTTCCTATCCAGGATCACAGCTTTCCACCAGACACTACAGCAGGGCCCTTCCAGACTGCCCTTTTGTGCTGGTTTCAGGTGATGTTCCTATTAGTCCTGATTGTTGGGATAAATCATAGACTATGTTCTAGGGGTTTTTCAAGGCAATAGTTTTACAATCTAGTACATTTGGGACACCAGTGGTAAGTTAAGTACTGAGTTCTTCCAGGATAAAAGTGAAGAGGCTTCTCTTGACCTCTTGTTTGAGCTGGTAAACCAGTGACAGTACCACAATCACCAAGAGAATGGAGTTGAAATTTGTATGGACTTTCTCCTAGCCACTCAAGGCACTTGTATTTGTTGCAGGGATTGTTTAAAGTATCACAAGGTCTTGCCATACCACTGGAAGATCAAGAAGACAACTACTCAAAAGTAGCAGAGTGTATCCCATGATGCTCAGGAGTACATGGATTTTATTATAATACAGAAAATGATAGAATAAGAATGAAGTATGGAAGAGAAAAATTTGGGTCAGATTTGAGTGCCATGAACATGTATAAAACAACTGAATTGGATCAACTATGAAGCCTTATCCACACCACCCTATAGCAGTGTCAACTCTACTTACCATACATTTTTGGAATTCTTCTGTGGAGACCACATTGGATAGAGAGTGTCTTGAGCCCATTACTTGAACAACTAAAGAAATTGGCTCTTGGGATCTGAAAGTGATCTAATTTATGATGTAGAATAACCACTACAACTTGCACAACTCATCCTTAAGGAGAGAAATTAAAAGGAGACCTCTCTTCCTCCGTGGTTTTATGTTGCTTCCATATTTACAGATACGTGGTAGGGTCCCTATTCAGGCTCCTGCACCTCTTGAAACAACTTTAGCTTCACAAATAATCTGCTCAGATGGCATCGCCTCAACAAACTTTTACCCTGAAACTTGGGTTTATATACATCCATCTCAAGATGGTATTCAAGTACCTGTTTCTGCAGAGGATAAAAGTTACCAAAAACTTTACATCTTTTTCATAAGACTATCCTTGAGTTTAAATATAGAATTTTACTAATATTAAGACTCCATGACCAGTCTCTGCAAGAAATATAAAAGGAGAAAGGACTACATGATCAGAAAAATATTCTATGACAGAATAATAAACAAGAGATATTTATTTCATGAAACAACCCAGGATGTGGCAGATAGAATCAGCCACACAGCTTTGATTCTTGAGTCAGTAGAAGCTTGCTGCAATGTTCAGACAAGGCAGTTATTTTGCAAAGGAAGAAAGCCGCTTTCATCACTTTTCTAAAAGCTCCTCTGGCGGAATATCCATTTTGGGGTTTTGGTGTAAGGCCTGACTGGCAGATGCACAATGGGCAGTTGTGGCTTGAGAAGGCCCCTCCTGTCAATCCTGGCACCATCGCCAATGACCTGTGTGACTTTCAATAATTTCTTTGAGCCTCAGATTTTTGTCCTTTTTAAGGATGATCAGAGTTACCCTTATTTTATTATCCAATATGAAGATGTCAATGACACTGTTTTCATCTGAAAAGTTGTGGTATGCTGTTACTCAATATGAACCCAAGCCAGCATGTGTAGCAGGTTTTGAAAGGGCGGGGGGCGGGGGGGGGTATTGCACGGGAATCAGCATTGAGCAATACTAGGGCACTTTTCAGGCCCTTTTTTTTTTTTAAAGACTGAGGAAGTGTAATTTTTTAAAAGAAAATCAAGTTTTAAAAGGACCACTTATTCTTTTTTTATTAATTGTTGTTAGTATACTCAGTGTGGGAAAGACTAGAATTTTCTTCCCACCAAGTAGCTTCTCAAAAGTACTTGGGACTGAAATTATTGTTAAAGGTGAAAATCCCACCCCTATGACTGCCTTACTAGATGCAGCTGGCTCCTTGTCTGACTTTATTCTACTTGCTTAATACCAACGCACACTTGGAAATTGTGCCCGGCTAGAACACTATTAGGCGAATGTGCTACTGCTTCAGTTCAGAGAGGCAGCAGCTGGATCTACTTCACTTAAACAAACTAAATACCCAGATTTACTGAAGTGGAAGTGGTTGTTCTCAAAATAACTTACCACAGTATTGTTCAGATACCAAGTCTCCTAGTCTGTTTGTGGTTGTTTCATTTATCCGCAACTTTTCAGGAACTTCTATGTTGGTTAAAGCAAGGTGCTGCTATGCTGGTGACTCAGTTGATCCCTGTTTAGGTACTTACCAGAGCTTCCACGCAGTTATTTATTTTTACCCCAGTTGATCCTGTTTTTCACTGCCTTTCGGCAAGAAACAGGCAATTATGGTAGTTGTTCTTTCATTCAGGTATAACTTGATCCAAATCTTTTCAAGTTAAGACATTTTACCACTGATGATTTGATTTTTATAAAACTTGTTCCATTTTTTTCTCCCTAAAGGAAATGAGAGCTTTAGACATTTATTTTTAATAAAACTATGCAAAAATAAAAGTTATAGTAATTCTTTCTTTAAAAGCAGCACATATTAATATATGCACCAACTCCCTACTGGGAAGATAATCCTTATTACTGTAAACATATACCAATAAAAATTAAAGTTTAAAAAATAGAAAATAAGCAGCAAAGACAAGGGACACAATAATAACCCAGTGTGCTCCCTGTGACCCCAGCACAGGCTGTGGAGGAGCAGGAGGCCTGCTGAGGGCCAGCTCACAACTCTGATGAGAGATCTTTCTCTTCTGTCCTCAACCCTCCTGGAGTCTACGGCCTCCTGACCTGTGATATTTTTAGCTCCTTCTAGGTGACTTGTGGTTTTCTCACTGCTCTGATTGGGAGCGGAAATTGGAAGCAGCACAGTAGACTCCTTGGCATGACGACATCCTCCCAAGTCAACCTCTTACTCCTCTCTGTCCTGCGCTGGGTCTCCTTTTCCTTTTCATGGTCCCTCTGTGGGACTCTCCTACTTTTCAATAGGCAGAGTCAGCTACCCAACAAGAAATAGAAGTAACTAATGGCTCAGCAAAGAGTCCCCTTGTCCTAGGGCCCTGTGGCCCTGTGAGTCATAACTTCACC